GGGGGGGGGGGAGGGGGGGAGGTGTACCCTGAAGCGAGATTGTCGCATGTACTGCTGCATTTGCATGTGGACTATTGACCCGGCCTGAGACGCAAGGGAAGAAACACTTAGAGCACGGAAAGCCTGAAAGCGACAGAGGCTTATCGTCTGAGTGCACATAGATTCGACATGTGCGTAGTACTCCTTCGTGAAGCGGCAAATCACGCCTGCAAGTGAAGGAACCCTTCTGTGTGACCACGGGTTGGAGTAAACAGCACAAGTGCTGTGAGCGTTGATTTAAAGTGAAGACAAAAAAAAGAAAAGAAATAAAAGAGCCGTGGTACGCCGCGCGACGCCTGGTACCTTGCGACCCTCCTGCCTCTTACGAACAAGAAGTTCGATAGGAACCCTTATCCTACAACCCCCCTGGGAGTAGCTATGCAGGCATACGTGCGGCCAGCATCCCGTTCTACGTGTGGGGGAATCGAATCCGCGCAAGGCCTAAGGAAAACTACTCCATGCGTTTGCCGAAAACTGGGAGTTGTCAGAGAGTATAGGATCGCCCAAACGAGGCTCGACTCGACTCAGAGGTACGTCATATACAGGGTACCACCACCAACAGTAGAAGTTTGCGAAGCGGCCGGAACAAACGCAGCAGAGCAGCAGCAGGTCTCAATTCCAGGTATGGAGGCGTGAGCGGGCGGCGGCGCCATCAGTCCTCCCCGAGGAAGACGTCGTTCCTGACCTTGCCCGCCTTTTCAGCGGCAGCGTACTCTGCGTTCGTCAGGATCTCGTATTTCCCGGTCTGTCAATCAGACGTTGGTACACGTACGTGCGGCGACAAAAATTGCCAGCGTGCCACATCGGGAACACGATAGTTTATGCGAGAGAGAGACACATAAAGAGGTAGGCGTGAGAGAGGCCGGAGGAAGATAGAGAGAGCCCAACGATGGAACAGGGAAGTTCATGACATTGCTACTCCATGCTAACGCTTGTAAGGAACACGCGAGGACGGGAGAACGAGAAATTGACGCAGGTCCGCCCCACTATCAATCGCGGCTAGGTTAGTATAGCATGGGAAAACAAACCTGGTGTTTTCGTCTCAAACAGCAACAAACGTCCTTTGGATGGATCGATGCAAGACAATGGTACCCAACGGCCCGCCGACATGCTACACCCGTCTACCGCATCACAGCATGCAGGACAGAGAGTGAGGGAAGAGAGTACTCCATCGGTAAGACTGCAGGAGGCAACGGCATGTATGCATGGATATTACTTACGTTGTGTTTCACCATGTGCTTGCTCTCCGCTTTGAAGTAATCTGCGCACGTACACGTGATGTAACCGTCGCGGGGGCGATGGTATGAGGGCGGTATAATTAACATTGTACAATGGGGGGGGTTCTTTCACAGGTGGCCAAAAAAGTAAATTGTTCGAAGTCCCACAGCGTTGCATGGACGGGCTAAAATGTCTCAGACGCGAAAGAGTGCTCGACCGTCGTGGACGGTTCCGGTACCACAGAGAAGCCCGGATGACACTTCCTGCGCTACATTCGGGAGCACCATCAATACGAAAGAGCGTGCGGAACGAAGCTGCCGCAAAGGTAACAGCAGTAGGACAACATTATCATTACATTACAGCGGAGGTAAGATACAAAGCGACGTTCCAGCTACGGCGATCAATTGCCCAGTTGTTTGAGGCAAAGAAGACCCCGACATGAACCCTTGAGCGCATAGCGGTAGTTGTACATGGCGCGTGTGACCCTCTTGCCTTTAAAATTGTGGACGTTGTAGGTGTCAAGGGTCTCCTGGAAGTAACGGTCCTTGGAGATCGCCGACTTGGCCTGCAGAGACTTGATGAGCTCGTTCCCCTCCGCCAAGTCCTCGCATTGCGCACCCTCGCCCGTGATGCCTGCACCAGCAGTAGCAGCATTGAAAAGCCATCGTTTTCCGGTGAAACCGCACACAACCGAGAAAAATACAACAGGTATGTAGGACTTGCGGAGGAGCAGCCAAACGTATCCGAATGTCGCCCACGGGGGAGTTTGGTGGACAGTCTCGTGTGTCGCTCACGGTGGATGGGATATGGAGCAGACGCGTGTGCTGCTGTAGACTACAAAATAGACCAAGCAATGGCTGCAGCCATGTATACATCTTCACTGCATGCCAACCGGTGTGATACAAGAAGAGTGAGAGACCCCATACATGTAGCTGAAGGTTGAGGGCGGATCTAGTGAGGGCGCGGCGAAAACAGGCGGCGTGTTGCACAGCGGCTCTCTCTCCGTCCATAGTCTGTAGTGTGCATACTCCGAGTAAGTCTCGTGGGCGAGGTCTAAACGTGTTGAGAAAAGTCGACCGGCACGCTCTTCGCGACCCGACACATTACGAAGCCATAGATGTGTCTAAGATGCCAGACAGCCGATATGCAGATCAGCGTCTGAGTCTGGTGTTCTGGTGGAAGCTTTACAATGGCTCGACAGCAGTGCGGCGGTTTGAAAAAGTTAAAAACGTGTAAACATGTCAAAGGCGGGTCAGTTCTCTGCATTTTTGGCAGAGATACAGAGGCCGTGTGGCGCACTCCCCGTTGCAAAGCAAACCCTCAACTCACATCTCGGGCTGATGGACACGTCTGCCCTAGCCACGTCCATAGCTCCCGTTATCAAAGCCCCGCCGACCAGCACTGCGCCCAACGCCCTATTCAAGTCCCCCGCTGTGGGCAACGTCATCATCGTCCGAGTGCTTCGACATCGTAGAGAGGTCGAAACGGGAGATGTACTGCTACTCGGCGCTGTGCACAGCACCGCAAAGCTCTCCACGCAGCTTGGTCCTACCAGCGCAGCGAGAATAACGTGAAGACGCATGGTTTTGCGATGCAAGAGTGCTATGTCGTGTGCCTGTCGAAGCTGCTGACGGCAACAAAGAATTCAAAAATAACGGTTTCCACTGCCAAGCGGAGGCATTTTGGTCCGGGGACGCAAATATTCACCCACCCCGTTCAGAGTTCAGAGCCGTGTTCACCCTCGAGTAGCGCAAGGCCGAGGGAGATTGGGAGCGAAGAGGTCTGTGGAAGGATACTTGGTTGCCCGGAAAGGTATGTTTGCGATGCTGGCTTGAAGTGTGACCCCCGCGCGTTAGGTGGGGACGTTGTTTGAGCAAACAGGACGTGGAGCGTACAGCGTTCCAGCTCCCGCCCAGCACCTCTATGTACAAGAGACTTTTTGATCAATGGACAATGGTAAGACTCCCGACTGCAGCGGTGTCTATGGCCTATGTGCACGTTTGGTTTACGCTGGATTGAGGGTGATGATACCACGTACCCGTCGAGTCTTTATTGGGGGCGTCAGGCGGCGGGAATCTGGACCCACTCACAACCGGCAGCACACATCGATACACGATACAAGCACGGATCCGCTTGAGTGTGCTCATGAAAGCACGGCGGCGCTATCGCCGGGGGCGATGCAAGATGAAAAAAAAAGCAGGTGGCAGGCCCGGCCCACAGGTGGCTGCTACCTGCCAGTTGCGATGTTTGCCAAGCTCAACAGCTCGCACAGCTGAGGCGTTTTTGACTCGGAGAGCCTAGCGAACCTCAACGAACCAATAAGAAAACTTGCAACTCTGTACCATACAGCTTGCAGCAGATGAGATGGCACTGCTGTGGTAAATGCGGCTTGTAGACAGACTCGAACATACGCATAGCTTGAAGGAAGTGTACGCAAACACCCTCCCTCAGGGTACCTACCTGGCATTACTGGTGAATAGTTTGGGAAACACATCCCAACCCTACCACGGAGTACATCAGTTCCATCGTTCAACAACCCGGTTGTTTTATTGCAGAGACCACTTGAGACTACACTGCTGATTTTCTCTCAGAAGATCGGCACAACGTGCAGCTATCCGCAACAACTGGCAGAAATATTTCTGTCAGCCACTTTTCTGCCACCCGTGTGTCTTCATACACGCTCCGCTATTCCCTCAAGACCTTTCGGAAAACGAAAGGCACTCGTTTTTGTCGATACTCCCGACGTACACAGTGGCACACAGCACCAGAGGTTCCTTGAATGACCTACTACCACAACCCGCCTACCTTCCCCTATACCCCGTCCCCTTTGTATTTTTGCGTGCTCCAGACTGTCAGAGTTCGTGCTGTTCGAACCCATCTTGGCCTCGCTTGATTGATCGGGTGCGGGCGTATCCAGCGGTGCACGAGGGCTCGCATAATGTCGGGTGCAGCTCCCCCCGCCATGACGGGAAACCCACGGGACGGCCCACGCCCACAGGTCAGCCGTAGCGGGACTACCGTAGAGTCTAGAGCCCCTTCTCCTCCGGCTTTCCCGCCACCACCAGGAGCAGCAGCAGCACCAGGCGCTACTAGTCGCGTTGCGTCGTCAGGGCACGACGTGGCGGCGAAAGCCGCACAATCAGCTGCAGGCGCTACCGGTCGTGCATCGTCGTCAGGGCACCGCGGCGGTGTTGGCGCGCAACACGCGTCTCCGCAGGATCCCGAAGCCTCCGGGTGGGATGTGCTAATGGGCGCTGTCAACCTCGAGCTGAAGAAATCCGAGCCAGCGGCGCCAAATACCACCGCCGCCGTTGCCACCAGCGCCAGCGACACCGCCCAGCACCGATCCACGGTCGCCGCTTCCGTGGCGCCATATTCATCTCCGTCTGCAATGGTTCGGGGTTGTGGCGCTTCCGAGCGAGGTCCGCGGGGGGCGCCGCCTCCTGACGGGTCTTGCGCCGGGGGGAGAACCGACGCGTACTTCGGGAACCGGGATATTGTGGCGGCATGTCGGGCTCTGAGGACGCTGCCGCACGTCCCCGTAGACGACGCGCCGGGGTCGGGAAGCGCGCCGGTAGCCGTAGGGGCCGGCGCCGTGTCGTTGCCTGGGTTCTCGATGACGAAAAACGTTGCCGCTCCAACGGACAACGCTGTAACGGTCGAAGCGAGCCAGGAGCCACCTGCCGCCGCCGCCGCCGCCGCCCCTTCCTCCGCAGTCGCCGCTACTGGCCCTCCACGAATGAGGATGATCGACTTTGTGCGTATGCCGGAATCGACCCCGTCGCCGCCCGTCGTCCCCGCCGCATCGCCGCCGCCGCCGCCGCTCCGGCCTCCGTCGCCGGCCGGACCCACCGCGCGCGACATCTACGCCGGAGCCGCCGTGCAGACGGTGCCGGCAGCGGCATCAGCGGCGGTGACCGCAACGAACGCTAGTCCTTCTCCCGATCTCGCGCATACCGCAGCGCCAGCAGCCTCGAAGACGGGAGCCGCACCGCCGGGGGCCAAGACCCCGCAAACGGCGGCAAAACCCAGGGCGGCGAAATCGAAGGCGGCGAGATCGAAGGTGGCAAAGTCGATGGCGGCGAAGACTAAGGCCAAGGCCCCCAAGGCCCCCAAGGCCCCCAAGCCCAAGAAGCGCAAGAAGGACTGGTGGGTCCGGCGGGGTCCCCCCGGCCAGTCGAGCTTCAAGGGCGTGTGCATCACCCCGGCGGGGACGTGGAGGGCCGTAATCTACGTGGACCGGAAGCAGAAGTACCTGGGGGTGTTCGACAGCGAGTTCGACGCCGCGCGGGCCTACGACGCGGCGGCGAGGGTCCACTGCCCCGGGTCGCAGCTGAACAACCCGGACCAGATCGAGCGCGAGCTGTACGAGCTCAGCGCCGCGGACGGAAAGCCCTTCGCAACGGCGGGAGCGGAGCCGCCGCCGGAGCGACCGCGGCCGCCACCGCCGCCGCCGCCTCTCAGACGACCATAAGGGAGTCGCTGCTCCTTGCATGCGAGAGTTTAGCGCGGACAGACTTGTATTTTTGTAGGTTTGGTGGCTGCCACCGTCCGTGCGCTGCTGTTGCTTAAGTTGGCCCGCTGGACAGAAGGGATGGCTTTTTCCGTTTCCCTGCAGCTTTCAAGACCCGGTTGAGCTGATGAGGTACAGGTGTATGTGGGACTATAGAGAGAGAAGCTAAGTGCAATAATAATGCCCGTTGTTGAGAGAGACCGATTGTTGGGTTTTGATCCTACGGATGGGTTGGAGAGCAAGCGAGACGAGGTTTGAGAGCCAACAGATGCTCGAGATGGGGTTGGTTAGCGGAACGGTCGGTCAAAATATTCGAGAGAGGTAACTCAGCTTGCGCTAGAGTGCACCGTACTGTGTTTCTTCTTCACTCGAGTCGGTATTCCCTCAAAGCGCACTTCTGCCTTGCTTGCTATTTGTTGTGTTAACGTAGAAATAATTAATTGCACCACCCAGGGTAACTCCCAACGCTCGCGGAGACAGCAGTGCTCCTACATATCTAGCTTCATAGGAATAAATAAGGGGAAGGGGAAGGAAAACCCCGAACATATTAACAACGCACAGCCCATTGCTCTTTTCACTCTGAAGCTGATTACGCATTTTCCTTTGTGTTGAAGAGTACGTGTGCGGCGTTCTTGTGGTTGTCGGTACTCCTTAGCTCAAGCGAAAGCGCTCAGCGAAAAGACCGTTCGTCTTAGGCGACCCTACCATGGGCAGTCGTCGATCTGTGTTCCTCGATGCTGGTTCTCCGGCATCGACACGCTGTCTCTGTATCCCCCCACTAACCAAGAACTGGAAGAAATCCTTTCCAAGGTTTATCCGACGAGTTGAGAGGAGTGTAATGTTCCTTTGCTCTGGTCAAGGAGAGGATAGCGGTGGTGGTTGGTAAGTGTGTTGTGAAGATGCGAGACCGTAAGACCCCATTGCTTCGTTGGAAATGCCGCCGCTGGTTGAGGGCCCCGTACTGCACCACGGCAACGAACCATACTGCCCGCTTGACAACGTACACATGGCTCCTCCTATGTACATGCCGTCAACGTTGGAACGTTGGTCTACTGCTACTCTCTCACTACCCTTCCGTAAGTGGCGTTCTCCTTCCCCCTCCTTCCCCCACAGCAGCATTTCGCCAACAAAGCCCCGGGTACAAACATCTGGCGTGCCTGCCTGCTCAAGCTCTCCCTCTTGTTGTGCGGCTGTTCACGCAAGAACCTTCAATATTGCCACACAGCAACCTCCACACTGCCATGTTCGCGTTGCCAGGCCGCACACTGACATTTGGGCGTGTCGTACATATACGCATAGCTACTCCAATGCACTCTTTGCCGAGCGCTACCTATCATACAAGTCCTCATAAGATCTGTTCTAAGATCCCTTCTCCTTCATGAGCAACATACACAACATACATACCCAATAAATAGACTAGAACACACAACGGGACACAACGCCACACTATACTTCAGGAGGAAGCAACTCATCCCCCCGAAAAGCCTGCTGACTCTACAAAACCATACAACACGGGGGACTGACACATCGCGTCAGTAAAACGGGGCCGGGCAAGGACAAACCTTCACGCAGGTGTGTTGACCGATGCTTGCCATGCGTGTCCACGACCCCCCTCCCCCCAAATAAAAAACGATTTGAACACATTTTGCCAACAGGAGCAGCTGTGCATGAAAATGTAGCTAAAAGTGACACCTTCTGCTGCGAGATTCTTAGTACATGAAATGGACAAGCGATTCGAAGTCCCCACGGGACGGCGCTAAACCAAAAGCCTTGAAAAACACAGTAGTTTTGTGTATTGTGAGACACGTGATCAACTCCTGTAGAGGAGCTCTGTCGACCAAAGGCACGCCATGCTTCATTTTGCATGACGAACCAAAAAAGCAAACAATTAACTCTACACTATAACAGATGCCTCCTGTTGGAACTGAGGCTCGCCAGCCCCGCCCGCACGGTAAAAAGAACAGACGAGACAAAACACGATCAGGTTTCTCCTGTTAAGCGTCAACGTCGCGCTATTATAATTTAACCAAGAGTGATGCCCTCGTTTTCGTGGTTCGTGCGCGGATTGTTGTGCCGAGCGAAATGCCGAAGATAGCGAAGCAACAAGAAGGCCAGGCGTTATTGTTCGAAGAGGTACGAGCCGAAGGCGCGCACCGCATCACAAACCTGCCAGCAGGGGAAGGGGCGGTAGTAGGACACAAACAAACAACAACGGAGTGGGGGGCGTCACCGATCTCCGGCCATTAGAACAGCTCAAAAGGAAGGGGCAAAAGGTTGACATTCCGAGAGAGATGAGAGAGGCATTGTCGAGAGACGCACGAGCGCGCAGTGTGGGGGGTACGACGCCAACTACAATCGATGAGGGCGTTGTTCGACGTTGTTTGGTCGCACGCAGGAGAGGGTTCGATTCCTCCGAGTGGACCACGGGCGGTACAGCGCTGGGGTACTGTATTTCAGTGGGCCCGTTTATTGCACGGCCAAACGCGACACCACCTCCAAAGCCATTTGTGTCAATCATCGATATTGACTTCGATTGGTTCAGGACAACGCTTTTGTCAACCGTTCTGGTGCAAGGGGAACGCAGAGCCGCGGCTCCCGCGGCGACACAACGAAAGTAAAGATAGGGTCGCCGGGGACTAAAACAGTCTGCGGTCTTCTTGCGTGGGGATCCTGGAGATGGAGATTGACAGTACTAAAGAAGGCAACCACGTTGTACCAAGTGCGGATGGTGTTCTTTTTGCGCGTTTTAATGCCGTCTATTCTGGGTGCCGGACTACATCTTTCGGCACGCGTTCGACAAATCATCTAGGTGATCATAAATAAAATTGGCAAAGTTGACAATTGTAGAACACTACAGCTTCGTAAGGAGAACCACGCGGGCGACAACACGCCAAAGGAGGGAACAAAACAGGCAACAAATGCTCGAGCAGGACACGGCCAAGGCATGAAGACGGTGATTACATCTCCACACTACGTGTAGCAATCGGAATCGCGCCGCGTCTCAGGATGCGTGGCCAATGGCCATTAGACTTATGTCAGCAAGAAAATGAACACCCCCTCCCCCCCCTCCCCAACTGGGCAGGAAAAAAAGCACCCCGGCTCACGTTCTCCCCGAGAGGGATACATGTACATACGCAACGTGCCACGTTGCATGAATTCTCTTGAGAGTACCCGATCCCCGGCCGACCGGGATGTCCGGTCAAATCGTCCAACGATTAACCACCAAGGTATGCACCAACAAGAGCACGCCAACCGCATTCCCCTCCCACGGTATGCGCTCTTCGTGAGAGCGGACCGTGAATAAGTAAACAAGTACAGCCGTCCCTCAGTTCAAGGACACCATTGTAAGGACACTCCCCCCGATCGAGGACACATTGTTCTTCACAGGCATGGTGTCCCGCAAGACGTACAACGTAAAGGGGGGGCATCAATCTTGATTCCCCGGCAAAAGGACACCTATTTTACCGAAAAGTCATGCGCGTCCTTAGCCGAGGGACGGCTATACCTACAGTATGCCTGGCCGACAAGTACCTGGCTCATGTCACTCGCGAAGGTTTCTGTTACGGCGCCGATGACCCCAGAAGCGGAATCCAAAGCGAAGCGAAAGGCGTCCTCGATGGGCTTTACGGGGTCCTCCAGCGCCTCGTTGGCGCAGTCGCCCCACCCCACCTTGTAAAATAAGAGCGCCAAGCGCCATGACAACGCGTGGCACCAACAGGGACACAACACACATCGTACATGATCTCGCCCGTGACAAAAGGTTGGCAGCATACATGATGGGCCTTGTGATGACGGGATGTGCACGCACGTTAAGGCGCTTCCGTCGTGATGATGCGTGCACACGCGAATTGGTCGTCTAAGGGATCCTCAGTCCCACCGAGACTTGGTCCCTTGACGCGAAACGGAACAAAATGTATTTAGTGACGGTCGCGTGGGCAGCTGTGGTGGGGTGGATGCGGCACGCTATTGATTAATCGAATCGGCGCTTGGAATCATACCGTCAAAGACCTTGAAAAAGGGGATTGGAATCATCAATCAATATGCAAAACCACTGGCAGTGCTGCTGCTGCTGTTGTTGTTGTTGTTGTTGTTGGTTTCTACTCCAGGTGACGCGCTCGTTGTTTGTGTTGTTTCTCGATCTCTAAATCACCACTGCCTTCTTGTTTACTCGCACGGAGTACAACGAAAATACGCACAGCCAAATACGGGTTTCTCTTACGACTACCAAGATGGGAAGTCTGTTCTTTCTTTGACAATCACTACAGCAGCAGTCTGTCCCCCGCGACTGAATGGCGGTAACCTCACCTTAAACCAGCACGTGTCAATGAGCTGGCTCCCAGGGCAGGTGGTCGAGGAGGTGCTTGTGGACCACGTTGGTTTGCTTGCCGAGGTGCGGGCGGCGGCCTCAAGCTTGCCGACCTTCTCTCGCAATGATGAGGTTTCGGCCTGCGAATCGCGGGAAAAACACGGGCATTTCGTCCCACATCAACCACTGTTCATAGCACACACCTGCCGCCATCCAACGCAACCCAGTCGCTCACGGCGGCAGTACCAATCTTTCAATTTTTATTTTTGTTTTCCCTTTTGATGCCTTTGCGTGCACCCGCCAAGCGCGGCTCTGATAGTAAGAGTAGGCGTTGATCACAACAACTGCCAGCAGCACTTTTTTTTTTTTTTTTGCCATTTTAGATAGCTTTGTGTTCCCCTTCCAAGCGCGACTCTGATTGTTAAGAGTAGGCGTTAGTTCCCAGCAGGATCTCCAACCTCAACCAACCGCAATTTGTACCGATCTCACAATTTGCTTTTTTCGCCATTGTATAGACAGCTTTGTGTGCACCTTCCAAGCGCGACTCTGATTGTAAGAGTAGGCGTTAGTCCCAAGCAGCATCACCACAACCGCCAGCAGCCCGAGGACGATGCGGCCGGCACGGCTGCCGCCGGAAAGAAGAGACGTCAGCGGTGCCGACGGGTCCACCACATGGGTAACTGTGGACACGCTGGCGATGGTGGCGGGGGGGGGGGTCTGGCTGGAGGTCTCAGAGGTCGACCGCGCCCGTTCGCTGGACTCTTGAGAGCTGAGAAAGTTCCTGGTACGATTCGGAGGAGGAGCAGGAGGACGGGGAGATCGCGGATCGCAATGGTCTACATACGACGTGAACATACCATCAGGGGAGTCAGGCCGTCCGAGCATTCTGTAAGAATTACAACAATAACGAGGTTCCAGCCACAACAATCCCGTGTTATCAGCCTTGCTGCACATGTTCCTGCAGACACGTTCTCAAGAACGGTCGCTCAACACGAGACGGAGATCAAAGGTGATGAATACGGCCGTGTCTCAGTGTATCACTCGGACAAAAACACAAGAAAGGAGTAGCGAGGGAAGACGCTGATGTTGCATCTGAGGAATGTACATGACAAGCTTTGGAAGCGGTGAATGGCACACCAAGACCATACCTATCGCCACCGAAACAAGGTGTAGCGACCGAAGCTCAGAAAGCTCAGATGGAGGCAGAGCGGCACTACCCACGTGTGTGTTTGTATTATTAGCATCGACCCCACTACGTGTGTGTGTGTGTTTGTCTCTCTACAAGAGTAAAAAGGATGATGTGGAAAGAAATAATAAGGAGTCCTCACCCAACATTGACAAAGGTGTCAGGATGGAAGGAGTCGTCCAGCTGCTGCTCCGAGGCGTCTGTGGGAACCCAGCTGTCTCCCATCAGGCCACGGTTCGCCACTTGCTCCCTAACCGCCTGCTCCCTCTCCATGTTGAAGATGTGGTACGTGAGTGTAAAGGGTGCTTCACAAATTTGTGATCCGAATGTAGGCATAATTTGGTTCAGAACTTTTTTGAAATGGGTAAAAAGGGGTTTTACTCGTGGCACCGTCCCATTTGTTGATTCGCGTTGTATAACCCGGCCGACCAGGCACGCCGTTCGAGGCTTCAGGCAAAGTAAGGGCATGTCCCTGATGCACAAACCCATGCCTGATGTTCGTCAGGACTTTCGCCTGCGAGCCTATACTCCAATTTCAATTATCTCCTATTTTTCTCAAAAATGTATGGACCACTGCTGTAGCCACGGGTCATGCCGCGCGGTTGTCGTCTTGAGGCTTCCACGTGTGCTGCCTGGAACTATGCATGTAGGAGCAGTCAGGCAGCATCGACGATTGACGGGCTGACTGGCTGCTGACAGCGGAAAGGAACATCAGCTTTGAGGCCAAAATTACGAGCGGACAGTTCGCGGGCTGTCTGCTGTACTCTGTAAGCGGATGGCAGTGTGTGTCCGGTATTCGGTGGTAGTGCCTGGGGAGACCCTTGAGAAGTGACGATCCCGCAATCATCGTTCGGACGTGCGGTGCTTTTTCGCGTATAAGAGTTGAAAGCGCCGTTCCTCGCACAGACACCGAGAGGCGCGCTTGGCCCACATGCACGCAAAAAAGACGAAAACCACACACACACAAGACATGCATCGCATCAGTCGTGTTTTCTTTGTAGCATTATGTCTCCAACAACAACTACTGCCGCCGCTGCCGCAGATGATGATGGATCTCGTCCACCATGCCCACCTTGACCACACCACCAAAGAACACGCCTGCCATAGTGGCATGACCAACGACGGGACTAGATGCTGAGAACGCCGGCGCCAAGACTTCCAGGTGTACTTCCAGCGAAACGCTGAACGCGTACGGCGAGCACGCTTCCAAGCATCACCTTCCAATCGAGTCGGTGTTGCAATCGACGCATCAGGCGGAGAACACATCACAGGAAACGCCGGGCAGCCAGCACAGTGCTGACAAATTTTCCCAGCCTCTCTCCCCCCCTCCCCCCCCTCCCCCCCCCCCCCCCCCCCCCCCCC